ATAATAATAATAATAATAATAATAATAATAATAACAATAATAATAATAATAATAATAACAACAATAATAATAATAATAATAATAATAATAATAATAATAACAACAATATTAATAATAATAATAACAATAATAATAATAATAACAATAACAATAATAATAATAATACTAATAATAACATCAATAATGATAATAATAATAATAATAACAATAATAATAATAATAATAATAACAACAACAACAACAACAATAATAATAATAATAATAATAATAATAATAATAATAATGATAACAATAATAATAATAATAACAATAATAATAATATAATAATAATAATAATAATAATAATAATAATAATAATAATAATAACAACAACAACAACAACAACAACAACAATAATAATAATAATAATAATAATAATAACAATAATAATAATTTTGAGCTTCATGATTTTTTCTAGCATCTTGTTAAAAGTAAATTTGAAAATTCATGGATAACAACAGCAGCCTAATCATTAGTATTAAAATGAACTTTATTTTGGGTCGCTTTTGGTGCTTCACACCTTTTCATTGGTCATTTTTTCTTTCAAGAATAAGGTCCAAGATTTAGAATAAATGTTTTCACTATTTAGCAACAACAATACAATACGTAAGTAGTGAAAGATGACATCAGTTACTTCCAATTCTGTGATGTCTTAAAGCCTTCGATGGGTTATTTTCACAGTTTATGATGGCGTAGCAGTCAAAATATGATAAATGAGCTCATGTATAGGACAGATTCTGAACCTTTGACTGTGGGGGGTGGGTCTGTGGGTCTTTCGAACCACTCAAACCTCCCCTGGCTATGGTAAAAATTGTATTCCTAAAATAATATTGTCATTATCAGTGGACTTTACTTACACTATTTATAAACATATTACAGTTTTTCTCAGTCGCTTTGGTGCGTTTCTCACAACACCAGTGCATTTCTGCACAACAATTAATGCATTTCTCAAAACAATTAGAACAAACTGCAAAACCTAGCTGATAACCTGCAAAAGCGCGTCACATGCTCAAAATGGACAGTTCATTCCTCAAAAGCAAGTATTGATGTCAATCAAAGTGTCAGTGTCATCAAAATGAAAAGTCCTGACATCATTGTTTATGAACAAGATTGGCAAAATGGTTTTGCCATGTTTTCATTATGACACTTTACACTGGACATTTTTTCAATGCAAAAAAGTCAGATTTTGGTGACACTTGCTAAAAATGCTCAAGACAGCACTGTATACTATTAGCACAGCCATTTGAAAACTACAGTAAAGTTGGACATCACTGCATTTAGTGAGTTATCTGAGTACAAGACACTGAATATGTATGTTTCACATTTTTACTGCATTTGCTCTTTACAATTCTAATTTACTCACAGCATTGTGCAAAAGAATAAACACACCCTTATTTACAACAAACATAAACTCCTTTTGGGTAGAGCAGTGCACAACTGTACACAATATTGCAGTACATAATGGAACTGAGCCTACAACATACACAGGTCTGTAAATCATTCATCAAATTGTTCAATTTTAAAGACATTTTCAGGAAAATAAAGATTTAAATTTGTTTTATAAAATTAGTTTGACAGATTTTGACAACTAGTTCATCATTTTTGTATGTAATGACTCAAATAATGAAATGAGGACTATTGGTTTTATATGGAATGACTATTCAGCATTCACAAGTTTAGTTCATTTTGACTGACATGACATAAGCAGATGATAATGTTATAAACAGCAGAGAGTTGTATGAAAGCAATTGATGCATGTCCAAAAGCATCTGCAATTTGTTGGAAGGAATGAGAAACTGCTACTAGGATGTTGTCACCGACTCGGTCCCCTCGCTGGCCAGCTGAGGCCGCCATCTCCGGACTTTTAGCATTACATCATCCATCTACACTGATTGCGCAGACACCTGATCTGAATCATGTCAACGACCCACGTACCTCATATAAGCCGCACTCAAACACTCAGTCAGTGCGAAGTCTTGTTCAGTCCCGGCCAGCATTACTGAGCGTTATTCCTAGCCTGATCTCTTGTGCACGACTCCAGCCTGTCTCTTACTTTGCTTTGCCTTCTGCCTGCCCACGACCCACGCCTGATATACGGACTCTGATTCTCTCTGCCTGCCCACGACCCACGCCTGATATACGGACTCTAATACTCACTGCCTGCCCGCGACCCAAGCCTGATACACGGACTCTGATTCTCGCTCATTACTCTCCACTCATGCCTGGTAACTCACTCTGTGTCTGTTCATCATCATTCTTGATACCTTTACTACTACTGTGGATGTGTGTGTGTGTACTCCGGTGCATGTTGTGTGTTTGAGTGAAGTTGTGATTAATAAATACTGCATAATGGATCCCTCCGTGTCAGTCTCCTCGTTACAGATGTGCACAAATGACTAATTGTTTTGAGAAATGCATTAACTGTTGTGCAAATGTAAATGGTGTTGTGAGAAATGCATCAAAGTGACTGAGAAAAACTGTAATTTATAGACTGCTTTTGGAGCTCGACACTTTTATTAATCGTTTATCACAAAAAAGTTAAGTCAAGTTTAAAAAAAAAAAAAACGCAGGATACAGAAGTCTTTGTGCTTGACTTATAGGAAGGCAGGCTCTGTGATTACTGCCATTATAGGGTAAATTATTTTTTGTAACATACTACCCTGCAAACCATTGTTTTTCAATTACTTGCCTAATTACCCTAACCTGCCTAGTTAACCTAATTAACCTGGTTAAGACTTTAAATGTCACTTTAAGCTGTATAGAAGTGTCTTGGAGAATATTTAGTCAAATATTATGTACTGTCATCATGCCAAAGATAAAATAAATCAGTTAT